CTGAAACCAATTCTCAAAGGGAATTCCCACATAGAACTTCCAGGGACCACCCACCCTCCCTTAAACCCACAAGAGATCATGTAATATCTGGAATTCTCCCTCAAGTGCTACAATTAAATCAGGGTTTAGAAGGATCTGGATTTACTTCCTAGGCTGCTGCCAGAATAAAGTCAGTGGAACCAATAATATTGTTGTCCAACTATTAACCACTGCATCTTCTATTCTTGAGAATTTTCCCTTACACTCATCCTTTCTTCGGAACACTAATAATCTTCTCAATTCAAAGAGAAAGATTTGCACCCAGCCTGGAAGGAATAGACTACCTCTGTGACCTGCCCTGAATGTAAATGCAGGTTCCTCTTTTAGTTTTAATGCATAGAAAATCAACTCAAACATACTTAAATAAATAAAGAGGTTCACTGAGTGACAGAAAGATTCAGGAAGAGGTGGACATGGGTACATTAATGGTATCATCAATAGTTATTTGCCTCTTCATCATCAAAACACAAAGTATCTGAATACTTTCCTTATCCTAACTGGCCAAGTCAATTAGAAGAGACACAGCATAGATTGACTGCTTGGCCAGATCTGGACCATATGGACCTTCTATGTTCCAAGACCAGGAAAAGAAGAATTTCATGAAAGAAAATGTGGGTGTTGATTTAAAAAAAAAAAAAGGTATAAATGCTTGCAGGAAGCAAGGAACACAGATGTTTATCATGGTAAATTGAAGTCCTGAAGGTATGAGCGGAGTTACTCTCCCAGATGACTTGAGGACTCCATCATGGCTCCCTTGAACTCTTTTTACATCGTTTTGTTCAATGTCATTGTAACCAAGAAAGTAAAGCTGTTTTCCTGGAGTTCTGGCCCATCTTCAGGAAGCAAGATAGGCACTGTTCTAGAAGGAACTCCCACCACCATAAGAAACTTGAGTCCCACATGAAGACCTCAGGCAAGTCAGGCCTTTGATCTGCCATAAGCCTTTGATTGACCTGGTCTCACAGCTTTCCTTGTCCATTGAACACACTAAACCATCCTAATACCCTACCATCCTTCGTGTGAGATGCTGAAATAGTCATCTGCTCTTAGGCCCTTATTTCAATTTCTCCAAGCATAAGCGGTTTTTTTTTCTTGGTTTCTCTTGGTGCAGAAAATGAAGCGGTTCATTGTTGTTACGGTTGCGTTTTCCCATGCAGTTACTTCGGCTGCAATTTTAAGTCATCAAATATGAGGGGTGAGAAAGACATATATTATTAGAAAAGCAAGCAACGGTAGAAAAGGCCCTTCTTACCGAGGTTTTGTGGATGATAGTTTAAGTCAGAAAAACAGTCACGCTCTGAGGACGGAAATGATCCCACACATCGGAAAATAGAGACAAGGAACTGAAATCACAGAGCAGGGTGAAGCCAACTCAAACAGCAGGATGCAGTGTCTTGTTCACATGAGACAGAAAGGCGCTCAGGTGGGACAAGAGCCAGGGATGGCAATGTTGGGGACTCTCACTCCCTGTAGCCTCTATTTATCCAAGACGGTCTTTAGCAAACAAAGCTGTTAGCTATAGGAGAGAGGCCTGTGCATTCAACAAGAATTCCTTGTGCTTGCCTCCCCTTCCCCATCATCAGACCCCATGCATCTCAGGAACTATTTTAAAGATGCCTCATGGAATTCTGTGAGCATACATACTGAGCCTTCATGGAAAATTTCCTCAGTTTGGCATTCTTCTGGGTTTTGAAATATATATATATATATATATATATATATATATATATATATATATAGTCTAATTGCAAAAGGTACATTTCAAAAGCTTTCCTAGTTCTATTCTTTTTTCAGATAACTATGGTCATATGGTCCTCAGGATTTTTCCCTCCCACCAGAAAGAACAGAGCAAAATGCATAATGTAAGCAAGTCTGACCAGTGATCAGTGACCAAGACTAACCTTGAGTGCATAGTGCACTTCTTAAAGGCCACTGAGTTCTAAGAGGTTGTCTTTATAGGACTCCAACATAGGCAGTTTAAATACTGGAAATTTATCTAAACCTCCTGACAGTTTTATCATGAAAATACAGTTCTTAAAGACTGGCTCAAGGTACTCGCTTCAGGAATATTCCATTGGGTTCAGTAAGGACTTCTTCCTTATGTGGGGATTGGCACACTACTCTGATTTCTGTGATAAGTGCAGAGCCTTTTGTGTTCTGACCCCTACCTACAAATGGCTCCTCATGTCGTCATTTCAGGGAATAGTCTCTGTCCAGATGGTGTCTCTAAAATACAGGGAGCCCAAAGATGGTGGCACACACCTTTAATAGCAGCACTGGGGGGGGGGGGCAGAGGCAGGTGGATCTCTGTGAGTCTGAGGCCAGCCTGGTCTACAGAGTGAGTTCCAGGATAACTAAGGCTATTATACAGAGAAACACTGTCTTGAAAAAACAAAAATAGGAAAGAAATAAAAAGAAAGAAAAGCAGAAAAAAGGAAGGAGAGAGAAGGGAAAGAAAGAAGGGAAGGAGGGAGGAGGGAAGGAAGGACAAAATAAAGAAAGAAAGAGACAAAAAGAAAGAAAGAAGGAAGGAAGGAAGAAAAGAAAAGAAAAGAAAAGAAAGATGAGAAACACTAATGGCTCCTGAGGCTGTTTTAAGAGACATGGGTCTGTATTATACTAGAAGACACATAATGGAGTTCAGGTACACCGGAGACCCACAAAATGGCACTGAGCTCAGGGCATTGCCCGCTCCCTATCCTTTGTCCATAGACACACTGCCAGGACATGTACACCTGTCCTGTGCTGTACCTGCACAACTTCACATGACACAGGGTTCACACCATTCAGACTCCTTGGATAATAGCGATCTGGTGTCTGCTTCCTGGATAACTTGTCATGACCCTGCTGGCCATGACTCACCATGACCACCACCACCACCACCACCAGAACAACACCCCACAGTCACTTAGATCAACAACAGATATGAGAGATGCAAGAAGAAGACAGCGAGGCAGAACTGCAGAAGCATGTATACCCCCCAAATGGACCACAACTCATGGAGATGTTCTTTGGACATGAGAGAGGAGGGTTTTTTGTTTTCTATATTAACTAGGAAGTCCATTGAAGAAGGAACTGTGGGCTGAGACTTGCCTTAGGTCCTGACTTACGTATGAAGGAGAAACCATGTTCTACCCAGGAGGAATATTCTACCCCATGGTAGCAGAGAGTAGGGTAGTACTGTATGCAGACTGGGAAGACACTGGAAGAGAACAGCATCCATTCTAAGAATCAATGTAAGTTCAAGCAAGACGTAGGGTGTTCGGGAAAAGGAGCTGTAGAGGTGGTGTGGAAAGGGGAAAGTAAATAAAAAAAAGATTTGGGGAGATGCCTAGAAAAGTCCAAAGGAGACCTGAGTGTCTGAGTTCTGTGGTGAATGCGGTTTGAATATTCCCAGGAGGGAATAACTAATAAAGAAATAGAGAAAGTGGAGTGGATTGTCACCTGTCCCCAAAACTCATCTGTGGTGATCTGAGTGAAAATGGCCACCACAGGCTTGTATATTTGAATGCTTAATCACCAGGGAGTGGTGCCACTTGAGCAGGATTAGAAGGTTAGGAGGTGTGTCCTTGTTGGAGGAAGTGTGCTACTTTGAGTGGGCTTTGAGATTTAAAAGCCTATGCCAGGCCCAGTTCTCTCTCTCTCTCTCTCTCTCTCTCTCTCTCTCTCTCTCTCTCTCTCTCTCNTCTCTCTCTCTCTCTCTCTCACACACACACACACACACACACACACACACACACACACAAATCAAGATGTACAGGACGCAGCTTTCACCACCTTCTCCAGCACCATGCCTGCCTTTCACCTTGCAGAATGATAATAAACCAAGCCTCTGAAATGGTAAGCCAGACCCCACCCCCGCCCCCATTAAATGCTCTCACGTATGAGAGCTGTCATATAGAGACAAGCTTTCTTCAGTCTCTTCACAGCAACAGAAGAGTGATTAAAACACCATCCCATCTTCCCAGTGTTGCCCTGCCCCGCGTGCCCCTGCTCTTGCCCTACCCTGTCCAAGGGGAAGGGCAGCAAGGTCCCAATTTCATGCTGAAGTCCAGAGGAGGGGAGGAAATCATGAAACCCAATTGCCTCTCTGAACAGTGTTTGTAGGATTTTCCCATGAGGTATCAGAGAAAATTGAGTGCAATTGGTCACAGGGTCGCTGGGTTTTATGTCAGCCTGGCTCTGGGTTCCCACATGACTCTACTCCTGGCAAGACAAACTGTCTGATCTCAACCAGTAGTCTCAGCCCCATGCCAAACCCAGACACCAGTCCTGGTTTCTGGCACCGAAGAACTTTGGGTCTGTTCTTGCTCTCTTGCTACTGGATGAAGATCGCCTGGTCCCCAATAGTCAATCTCTTTCTCATTTCCTTGCTAACCCAGCATGAAGGCCAAGTGTATTCCCAGGTTTGTCTTCTGGTTTCCCTAAGACAGCTCCTGAGAGCAGGATCAGCAGCAGACTGGGTACCCTGGTCCTGACCTCTACTGCTGCCTCCAGCACATCATTTCCCATGCCAGATTTCTGTTATTTGGACTTACTGATCATTTTTCTCTCAAGTACCTAGTGATGAAGGTGTCATTCTTGCCTGAAATGATGCCCTGGATCTTGCTCAGGAGTCTAATTTTCTTTGTGTATCCTCCAAAACCTTCCAAAATTCATTGACTCTGACTTTTTTCTTTCATGTTGAAATGAAGTAAATTTGCTTTTTTTTAAAAAAAAATCCCTATAATTTATATTACCTCTTGGAAAGGGGTGAGACAAGAATTTAAGGGCCTCATGGCTCTTCTTCATCCTAAAGGAAATCTGATAAATTTACAGGAAAGCAGACTCGAGGCATTGGCCAATGGCTCTGTCATCATAACCATCATCAGGTACCTTATATAAATCCACCATCTTGATTGTGAGGTGGAGCCAGCCAGTTTAGGGAGATATAATAGGAAAACAGTGATGAGTCACGACTTCTGAAATTAGTTTACAAAGCATTTTGATTGCTGTTGTTTTCCCCATTGTTTGCTGGTGCTCATAAGAGCCGGATTCTTCCATAGGAGATGCCCCGTGGTTATGTCCACACAGCAAGGAGCTAAAGGAGACCTCTAGCCACGACTCAGTGAAGGATGACAGCCCCAATTCCAACACTCCATCAAGAATTGAATGCTGCCAACAGCAGGGGAAGGGATATGAAGGGATCCTTGGTGAGTCTGCTGCTCTGGCTGGAGCCTAGTTTGCACCATTTGGAGACTTTAAGAAGAGGCACCAAGTAAGATTAACTCAGAATTCTTGACCACAGGTGAGTAAGATAATATAAATGCAAGTTGTTTTAAACATATTGATTTTAGAATGACAGATTATATATCTATATCTATCTATCTATATCTCTCTATATATCAAATATCGGCCTTGGGAAATTAGAGATAAGGAACTTAGCAGTAATTTGGATCCTTTTTAAAAATTAATTTTAAACATGCAGGTCTCTCTTTACTTAGATTTAAAGGGAAGACACATTAATTTTTATCAATGTAAACCTAGTGTGGATCCTTCTCTGTGCCTAGTATGACAGATGTTATGTGAGACCCAGAAAATTTAAGATACTTTCAAGGCTGAAAGAGCAAATCATAAACAGAAGCAAGAAAATACCTCAGCATCGCCATCACACCGCTGCTTTCCTTGCTCCCCTAACTCATGAAAACCTCTCTTCTATTCCACAACAAACAGTGTAAAGGAAAGACATGAACTAATTCATATTGGCAGCAGATGGTTCTGGGCAACCTGATTTCCATTCGGGCAGAGGCCAAAAGAGAGTCTGTCTGAAAGCGCATTTTATTTTGTCAGCTTCATTAACTCTTTAATTAGTCTTCAACGTATAAACTCAAGAAAGTTTTTGCAAATATCAACTTTCTGGCTTCTTCATAAATATGGTAGATATGGCCATTCTAGGCCCATATTCCCAAATGTTCATGTCCTGACTGTTGCCTAGCATACAAATAGATTCTTTCTCCCTTTCTTGTTCAGACACGAGCTGCTCATTCGGCTTGGTTTCTGGCCCGTCCCTTTCACAAACTTAACCCAAGAGCACAGAATCTTATTCTGGAGTCTAGACTATGACCTTCTGCTAAATCGGTTTTTATGTTTACTTTTTTCTTCAGGGGTGATATTATCATCTTTCTTATCTTGGGCACTGTGCTCAGATAGGCATGCAACAGAGAGCCAGTGAAACTAAGCCAGCTTTTCCCCAAGGCTCAGAGTCAACTGATAATCTCATAAAGACCGCTTGAGAAAAAACTGTAGAAAACTGATCCATGTGATGTTCTTGGTCCTTTCTAGACACAGGAGTCTATAATATACCCCACACCAAGAAACCCCTTTTCTTTTCTTTGTTCACCCTTCCTATCTTTGCTCTTGGTTGCAGAGGTCACATGTAATAGATGACCAATGAACCCTGGGGTCACCAGAGCTGTGGGGGTGATACAGTCAGAGGGATAGTTTGTTTCTTCCACCTCTCTAATGAGATTCCCTGTGATTTAGCATCCAAACTCTGTGGAGTCACAGGAAGCAGTGCAGGGGGTGGGGAGTCTGGATGCTCAGGGCTGAGGTCTCGGGCGCTAATGCATGCTGTCCTCATGCATGTGTGACTTGCTCATGGTCTGGCTTTGGCCTCTTAAAGATGGCTCTTGACCAATGGACTCTAGCGGAAATGGAGTTTGCAGCTTGGGAGGGTCTTGGCTGGGGACTCAGCCATGACCTCAGGCCCGTTAGCTGCACCTGAATACACATCTCCAAGGGAAATGTGTTCTCCATGGAAGAATGGTTGCTCTGCAACCCACCCTGGCAGGGGAGCATGTGAGATCACCCCAGCTGTTCTGAATTAGGCACACACACACTTACACACTCACACACTTACTTTTACAAGCCAAGAACACAGAATTTCTCATTTTTTTCATTGAGTCCATCATTTGCCCCTCTGCATTTTGGACTTGCTTATATAATTTTTCCCTTGTACTCACCTAAAATGCTTCAACGCTAAATTTGCTGAGCAGCGGACACATCCGTAAAAACACACAAGCAAGTTAAACACATTCCCTAAGCCAGCTTCACACCTGAACACAAAGGGAGCATGCAGGGCTCCAAACCAACTGTTTTCCAGGGAAAGAAAGAAGTCCCTGTCACCGGGAGAGGACCTGCCACAACCCTGTCCTCTGCTCTCTCTTTACCCTCTCGGTCCTGCTCTTGCTGACTATGGAACGGTAGCTTCCAATGAAGTCAGATCTCAGAATCCAACAGAGTAGGGAGGCAGCTTCATGGCTTCTTAGCAGAACAACCTCAGTTCAACAGAGCAGAGTGTGTTTGAGTGCCAGGCTTGTCTACAAGGCTTGCTGGATGTTATCTCCCTCCACCCGCCCTTCTCTTCTTCTCTTCTTCCCTCCCCTTCTCCCTCTCCTTGTCTCTCTCCCCACCATCTCTCTTGTTTCTTGATCCGCTCCTCTAAGTCACAGCCTAGAAGGTAAAAAAGAGGAAGTTTGATGCAAACTCTGTACAGTGAAATCCTTCTGGTTTCAATGAGAAAAGGGAAAACACCCAATCATTTTTGATTATTTTTAATTTTTTTTTCATTTAAAAAGCCCTTTAATAATAAAGGCTCTTTTGACAGTTTGCTTGATGAAAAACAACAACAACAACAACAAACTAAGGCTCCCACACATGTGCGGAACTGTGTGGCCCTCTGCTGAGCCCGCCAGCTTATCTCACGACGTCATTTCGTGAGTAATGGAAAACAAAAACTTGGCCAGAGAAAATGTTCGTCTCGCTTTAGAACTGAACACAAATCTCTCTGTGCCCGTCAATGTCCGACTGAAAAGGATGAAAGCTGTACTTGAGGGTCTAAAGCAGGATTTCGGGGCAGGGAATTAGTTTCCCGGGCAATGGAGTTGCTAAGAAGCTGAACAGTAGACAATGAGGCAAATCAGAGGCCACCAACAGCAGGACCCAGCTGCGGGGACAAAGGGAAGATGAAGATATCAGAACCCGGTGGGTGGGGTCATCAGGCAGGAGCCACAGCCAGCCCAGACACCTGCCTAGCAGGATCAGGAGACCAGTAAGGAACCGCCACTGCTGGGACCACAGAAGGCTGGGAAAGTGAAGGAAAAATTTCGTGGTCCTACGTGAACTCTGTTGGGAGCCAGAGATCCCAGAGACTGGGAAATGTTTGAGAATGATCAGCCCAGGACCCACAGCAAAGGAGTGCAAGACACTGATAAGACAGAATCTGACTCACACACGCTCCTCTTGCCCCTCCCTCCACGGTGTTCTCACCTAGCCATGAAAACAACAGGACAGGAAGTCTGGAAGGACCAGAGGCTGGAGCGGCAGAGAAAGGCACTATGGGTTCATAGACCAAGTGCACATCCAAATTCATTTCTATCACTAGGGCTGCTGCTCATGCGAGATCAACTTGAGGAGTTGGGACATGTACTGAGCCCGGGGTGGAGCCTGAGACAGAGAGAACCACGTCAGGAAACACATGAGTACATACACTGAAGCTTGGCTAGAAGTTTGATACATGTGCTAGCATAGGGTGCTGAGTTCCCTCTGGTACCGCTACCCGCAACTCGCCATGGAAGAGATCACAAGTAGAGATGTGAGCTATTTCTGGATCAACCTGGGCTCCTTTCAAACTGATCTTCCTAGACATATGCTTCTTGTGTTTACTTCAGAACCACAGCGGACTGCTCAAGAGGACTTCCCAGGAGGCCTGGGAAGGAGCCATGCATTTGTTCTTTAATAATCCATTCGTGATGAAATCCAACAAGTCCCAGTTCAACCCTCCATTTGGTAACATGTTTCCATGGCAATTATAACTGCAGTACTGCTGGTGGTACAAATACGTCTCTCACCGACCTTAAAGATCAGAAGTGGGGGAGTGTGAGGGGGAGAAGCAAAAATATAATATAAACAGAAGAATGGAAAATGACCTCCAAGAAGCATAGCAGTTAAACAGTGACTAAGGAGGCTGTGATGGGCATCAACACAAATCTGTAAGTGTAAGCAGCGTGGCGGGAAGGAAATGGCTGGGATGAACTACAGGGAGAAAGCAGATTAAATGGAAGTCAGTTTTCCTTTCCCTGGGGAAAGACTATGGCAGAACACTGGACCTTTCTGTGTTAGTCTGGGAAAACTGGCCAGCTAGGCAGGCTGAAGGTCTTGTTCATGCAGTCAGGGAATCCAGAGACAAAACACCAGGCAGGACTTGAGGCTACCTTGCTTCATGACTGTTCTGTCTCTGGGTGGCCTTGTCACCTGAAACCCGTGACTTGCTGATTTAGGCTCAGTATCCTCACCCGTAGAAGGAGGTAAGAGAGCAAATATTTGGGGATGATCTGCTAAGTGCCAGACAGTGTTCTGAGTGCTGGGAGCGGGAAATAGTCAACCTTGTTCTCAAGGAGTTTATATTCTGATGAAACAGCAGAAAAGACTCAGACTAACACGCGAATATAGTAACCTAGAAACCAGGAACCCAGAATCAAAAAAAGATAGCTGAAGGGAGTGTTAGGATTTAGCTGTGAAATGTGTAGCCCGCTCCCCAACCCTGCAGGCCTGTGTCTTGAAAGATTGAAGAACATTTAGGTCAGTGGTTCTTAATGCTTTTACCCTTTAATACAGTTCCTCATATTGTGGTGACTCCAACCATAAAATTATTTCCTTTACTACTTCATAACTATAATTTTATTACTGTTATGAACCATAATGTAAATGCTTTTGGAGACAAAGGTTTGCCAAAGGGGTGGAGACCCACGGGTTGAGAACCACTGCTTTAGGTGGTAGTGTCTTAGTGGGGGAAGCAGGTTATTGGGGGTTTTATACACGGCTTCACTGTCTATCTAATCTCTGTTTCCTACCTGCCAAGGTAACACAGCCAGCTACATCGTTCTCTTGCCGCCATTTCTGCCTTTCCACGATGGATTGCATTTTCTTACACCGTGAGCTCAAATGACTCCTTCTCCACTAAGTTTCTCTGTGTCAGGGCTTCAGTCACAGCAGGGAGCAAAGCAACTGATACAAACCAAGAATGGTGAAAAACGGGGATGAACTGCTTCATATAGAGGCAGGAGTGTCCTGGCTGAGATGTGGCCTTTGGACCGAGGAAAGGATGTATCTGGGGAGATATTGCAGGAGAGAGCTTGACTATAATGAATGCATTCGAAGCTGTGTTGTGGGTATAAATAAAGCATTCTCAGGGCTCCTGAGATAGAGGAAGTGCTCACCGGTGCCTGCTCTCGTTTTGTAAGACAGAAAGGACTGCTTTTGCCTCTCAGTTAGCCATAAAACACGAGAGGACACAAAACGCCCTGCCATATTTTATCAGAGGACTCCGCACAAAATATTCACGTGTTTACTCAGACTGCTTTTATTCCAGCATCAACTGGGTGATCGTGTGGTACAGAAGTGGGCATCAGAGGTTCAGCCTTGGATTCCTGGGTACATGCAGCCACCCTGAGTTCACAGGGTTGTAGGGAGGGGCCAGTGGAAGGCCGACTCTGGGTGCCTCCTGTGACTGTTCACATCACATCGCATTGACTCAGCGCTGTCTGAGGAGTGTTAACTGAATCTTCTGAGCTCACAGCCGTGGCTATGGTGGGACACGGCCCACCCACAGCTTGGATGACTAGGAAACACAAGCCTGAGACCAATATTTGCCCCAAGGAAGACACAAAGCCAGTCTGAATCCCAGAGGGACTCTTCTGTTTTCAATATCCTTTGAGATGCAAGCTGATGGTGTTTGTTTAGGTTGGCATTGAGAAGGAATCGTTCTGTTGTGATTCCAAGTTGCTTAGAAAAAGTCGGTGATGCCTCCAAGAATATGATTAAACTAGGCACCCGCTGAGGGAGGGAGAGCAAGAGAAATTTCTCTGTCTTCTAAAAACTGTGCAATTAACACTATAGGCATGGTCTAGCTCACAAGAGACACTCCAGTGTCAAGACCAGTGGGGCTTTGGGTGCTTCAACTCAGTCTCAATGTCTAGATTCAAGATGATAGATATGTTTATGCTAGGCCTCCATTTCTTTAGGATTACTGCATTTTAGACCAGAAAGAATAAAAAAAAAAGTCTCTGCAAGTGACTGAAACGACCACATAAAGTTATAGGGGGCCCATGGTGACTATATCCACACAGCCCAGCCTTGTTCCAGACTCACAGACCACAAAGGCAGAGCGGGATTGATACTGAAATGCAGTTTCTCCCTATTATTATTGCTGATTGCGGACAGAAAGAAGACAGAGGGTGGGACAAAGAGGGCTCATTTAAAATTCCTAGGTCAGGTTGGATCAGCATGGCCACCCATGTGCTTGTCGTTGTCAATTCATAGAGTGGTTCCATTGGTACTGAAAATGTAATGAGGGAGAGCCCCACCCAAGCTTAATTTCTTGCCAGTAGGGTCGGGAAGGGACGCTGTGGAGTTGAGAAGATATTTTCATGTCCTCCGAGAGTAAGTCTTAAGTTTCCTCACTGCCTCTAAAGATGTGTGCTGTCAGATTAGATGCCAATTCCTTAACCTCTTAGCCATAACCCCTTTAAAGAGGTCATATCAAGGAGGAGCTTACAGCATCAGCCTAAATTTTAGTCCAACTTGAAGTAAACGTTGGTCGCTATTCAAGAAATCAGAAGGCTGTGATGTCCGTGCACATGCTAGGATGCGCTCTGAAGATCGAGTCCAATCAAGTCTAGGTGCACTGGACAGAGCACGTGCCCAAATGTTCCTGCCATGATTCTGTACTTTTGGAGGAACTCCCTGTCAACTGGCACTTTGCTGTGTCCCACTTTCCCATCACCCAAGGAGCACGTCTGTAAGCTAACTTTAGTAAGTTGTTATAGGCTGATGCCTGTAATGATTTAGCCTGTAAGCTAAATTATTTTCTAATTGATGAAAAAATATTGTGATTAAAAAAAGAGGACTGAAGAGAAATGGGGATGGAAGTCGGGGAGAGAGAAAAGGTAGCATAAAAGAAATAACGAAGATGTGTGATTTGCATAGCGATATAAGCCTGGTAATAGAAACTAACTATAGTTTCTATGCTAATTCCTATTTTTGTAGTTTACCCTAGGCACAAATAGAAAAGAATAAAAGGGAAGGGGAGAAGTAAGAAGGGGAGAAGAAGAGGGATCCCCATAATCAAGTAAACAATTAGAACTAAATAACATCTCACTTCCTTGCCAAATCTCAAAACTATGAGCTTGTAACTCTTAGGTAAATAACCTCTAAATTCCAAGGATGGCCTCCATTGGCAACTAGTGTTTAAGATGCATTAAAGAAGCAAGCAGAAAAGCCTTATCATTAGGCTTGTGCTTTAACACAACGCTTGGCTTTGAGGACCGTGTTAGAGTTATTGTTTGGAGAGAAGAAGATAAAATTTAGGGCAAAAATGGTGGACTTAAATGACTAATCTCAATTGTCAGCATGACTGGATTTAATCTTTAAGACATTAGTGAGGCAAACTGTTGGACATGTCTACCAGAGTCTTTTCAAAAAAGAACTGAGGAACCACACTGAGTGTAGATGGTATCATCCCATGGGCTGGGGTCTCATGCAGAACAAAAAGGAAAAGGGAAAAGTGGGCTGAGCACCAACATTCATTTCTCTGCTTCTGGTTTGCAAGCACAAGGTAATGACCTACCTCGTGTTTGTGCCATAATTTCTCTATCGTGGTGAATGACATCCTCAAACCATGAGCCCAGATAAACCCTTCCTTTCTTAAGTTCCATTTTGTCTTGCATTTTTGTCACAACAAAGAGAAACTAATATGTATTCAAAGTCCCCTTCCTCTTGAATTGTATCTTGAGACTATAAGGGCTTCCCTCTTTGGTAGGTTCTCACATCAACCTTGCTCAAAGGCCATCATCCAGTATCTTTTGGCCCAGTCCAGAGACACCATTCCAAGAAACACATAAAAACACTGGGCCCTTAGCTATCTAACACAGACACACAGATAATAAAGAAATTTCTTAGGATGGGTCAGCAAAAGGAAGCTGTTGGTTGAGTTAATATTGGCAACTAATATCCTATCTTAAATGTGTGAAACAGCCGGTGTCTATGTTTTATGAGTAAATCAAAATAGAGTTCATTGCATAGTCAAAATTGTTATTTCATTTTTAAGTAATCATTTACCTTGGAAAATAAAGAATAACTATGGATAAAATATCATGTAGTTTGAGATTCAATCATAGACCACAGTTTTTCAGACAAGGAAAAGATCCGGACAAAAGGATAATCGTCATGTAAATAGACTCTGGGGTTCATGGTCCTGTGGAACACATTCTGCTGCTTGAGTGAACCCTTGGGGAATCAGTTCTACTCTAGTGACTAAATGAGGATATTATGTCAGAACAAGTGACGTGAAGCTGTGTTTCAGGGATGGTCACTTGGCTTGCAGCAGGAATTGGGTGACGTGCCTAATCCTACCATGCTTTGGGGAGTGACAATACCTACTTCACAGATGTGTTGTGTGTTATTTAAGTAAAATAATCCATGCCATATGTTGGAATGAATGCCTAGCACACGGAAAACACTGACTCAAAGCTAAACATCTATTTGCTATTAATGGCTTAACTTTTAGCCAGGCTATGGCTAAAAGAATAGATTTGGAGTTTTATGGTATGGTCTATTTTTATCTAAGTTTCTTGGGGGTGGTATAGTATGAGCCAAATTGACTTAGTCCAAGAGGCTACTCACATCTTAGGATGGCTTAAAGAAACAATAGTACAATGAGAAATCAGGTACTTAAGACTTGGTCAAATGGTAACTTGATTTGATTCTTTGACATGACAAGAAAAAGGTTTCTTCCTTTTCATAAGAGGGTCATGGCATCTAATTTCTAAATTACTGGAAAATGATGAGAGGACCAGGTGAAAGTTTTGGCCTTCATCTAGGACACTCATTTCTGGAACTGGTTTTATTAGGAAGACTCCTGTAACTGGCATCAGTGGAAGGAAGAAAATGCCAGGAAGAAATGCCAGGAAATGGAAAGAACACCAGTTCTCCCCATTCTGTGTGCAGGAGGTGATCTGGTAAGGACAGCGAACTGTGTGCCGGGTGTTTCTCTTTACTTGCGGGTTAAGTTGTCATACCTTGGCCTTTTTAGCGCCATCCCGTCTGCAGACACAAAACACTTCAGCCTGCATCCCACAGGGAGATCACCTCGTGTGATGAAGAAAATTCAATTCCTCCATGGAAATCCTTGGTAGTCACCACCTCCACTTCTCCTTTTTAATTTTCTGGTTCAACAACCACCCATGCATCCATTGGAGTAAGACAGTGAATGTTGCATGCTCCTCACGTCTGAGACAGGGGAACCAAATCTTCTAGTGATTGAGAAATGAGCACCAGATGTCAAAGCTAGTGAACATGAGCAATTCATGTGCAGTGATACCCTAATGCCGTGTTCTGGCTTCTTCCACTTACCTTAGCAGCCTTGGGTTCTTCCACTAAGTAACCAGCACAGAGACTGCATCAGGAAAGATGTAGGAGAGAGATGGAATTTTCACGCCCTGTGACTTTTAGTTCATCCCCTAAGTCATTCCGAAAGGAGTTGAAATAGGAAAATCAAGGGCTACTTGGCCGTGTCTGAAATCTGAACATTGAACTTGTACTTGAAGCCTAAGAGTTTTCACAAAAGAAAAATCTAGAAGTCTGCTCTGAAGGGGCTTAGCCCCTTGGTTGGCGTTTTTCTGGGAAGCTGGTAATGAACCCATAAATGCTAATGAGGAATGTGCTGTGGCTCCCCAGCAGGGCTGAGTCAAAGCAGCCCTGTTAGAGGACAGAATTACAGGGCTTGGAATGACCACACCCACTCCGCCACACTGGGCTGGGCACTGCTTTGTCAGCGGCTTGCACCCCTTCCACCCCAGCCTCTCTGGCCTAGATTATTCCCCAGGAGGAGGGTTCCAAAGGCTTCTTTTCAAAGTCAAGCTAGAGCTTTCAGTTCTCCGTAGCTTGGTCGCTTGCTATATGCTGAGTACCAGACATGTGCTGTGCCAAGACTACAGCCAGGAGCTGTGAGAAGGGACTCCCCATAGGCTGCTTCTTGGCCCGTCACCTAGTGGCCTTCATCCTGCGGATCTGAGACATCTGCAGGAGCCATGGTCTCGGAACAATGAGACGATAAGCTTGGGCTCTGCTCATGCACAAAGACGGGGTTCTTGATAATGTGAGATGGGAATCAAGAATGACCATGTCTCCTGTTCTCATGACACTCCTAAGAGTCGTTGCAAATCTTGGCTCAGAGGGTCAGAGGAGGATGGTGAGCCTGCAGTCTGACAAGGAGGGACCTTGGGGTAGACATCCCCTACAATCTTTCTCCTTGGTGGGAGCCCATCAGTAGACACAAAGTCAGACGGAAAAAATGGGGAATGACAGGCTTGAGGAGCTCTATGTTGTTTCCCAAGACGTGGTATGAGAGCCTGAAGAGTTAGTTGGGCCAGCACAGTACACTGCTTCTGCAGGCAGCTGTTTCCTTAGCCTTCTGCCTCTTTAGACTTATCTATCCGCACCTCTGTTAGCATGTTACCCTTCAATACGCACTGCTGGTCTTCATACCAGGTACTGAACAAAAGCAAGTATACCCTCTGTGTTGTAACTCAGAGTCCTCCCGGCTAGCAGGTGGATGTTGTTGGATGTCTGTGTGTTCTAGGTGAACACAGATCACTAGTACAATACTTTTCCAGCATGTGTGTTTGGCTCTGGGTATCACAATTACAGGACCATGGTCTGAGCCTGTGTTTGGCACGGGATAGAGCTCTTTGCCATGTGTCTGACAAGGGTGGGCCATGGGGAGTAGAGGTCATGTCCTGACCTCAAGGCCCCTTAGAAAGTCTATCTATGTAGTTAAGAGACAGGAATGCAGTTGATTCAAACCAGCACAAAATGGACTCGTGATGCATTTATAGCAGAATTTAGTAATGTCTCCCACTGTTTGTTTGGTGACTGGAGTGATGGGAGAATATGAAGGCTGGGAACACAGGAGTGGATCTAAGTTCTAGAGACCTCAAAGTGCATGCTTTGTTTATTGAGCACTATGAATTTCTTTTCTCACTGAGTATTCATAGCTGAGTGTTCATCACAGAACATCCCTAGCAGCCTTTGGTGGTCTTGATCTACTACTTCATCAGCTGTTCAGAGAGGGAGACAGCAAGGAAAGAGGGAGAGATGCAGGTAGCTGAAGTATCTTCTACACAGCTGGTTTTCCTGTACAAAACAACATCTCATTTAAATGTA